TCTAAGTAATATTTTCCTAAAATACTCAATGATTTTTGGTCAATTTTATGCAATGATTTAAAAAAATTTAAGTTCCCAAAGCATTTTCCCCTCACATCTACAAGGTTTCTCTTCTTAGAAAGGTGTTCTTTTGTGCTCTTAGGCTGTCAAGGATCGTCTAACTTTTAGAGGCCCTCATTTATTGTGATTCTTATACTATTATCCATATTACCAATTATATTCCTGCTAATTAGTTTTAACAAATATTTTATTGAGTAACTGTTACATATGTACCCAACACTGTGCCTCCTTTGGGAGCTCTTTAGGAATTTCCAGTCTACTGGGGAAAATTAGATACAAGAACAATAACCACACAAAGAAGTATATGATTGTTTCCAAGTAATTATTTCAAACAGCAACAACTATAAGATTTTATAGAAGGGAGAAATCAGTGTGGGTTAGAGTAGTCTTAGGGAAGGTTTTGTGACAGAGGTGTTAGAATTAACATTGAAAAATGACTAAAATTTAGATAGAAAATAGATAAGTTTTCAGATAAAAGGGACAGCATGAAAAAGAGAACTAAGGAAGAATTAAACTGGGATTGTTCTAAGAACAAGGTAATCTGTTGGGCTTTTTTTTGCTAGAGGGTGTCAGTTAGGGAGTAAGGGGAGTGCAGGTTAGGCAGGTAAATGCAGCTGGGCAAGATTGTAAGGGCAAATTAATGTAAACAATAGCCTAATTAAACACCATTAGAAGTCTAAATCTTCTGCCAAAACCAATTAGGTCATGGATACCAAAGTCAAATACAAATAATTTTTTAATTGTCTACTCTTTTGGATTTATCTATGCCACTGATTCCTTCCATTAGTATGACTGATAAGTTGAATATATTGAAAGGAACTTGGGAATTTTTCATTGTTGAACTGTCATATATTCTATTTTTTTTCTACTTTGAAAAACAAAATGAAGCATTCAAGTAAAATGCTGAACTTAGGATGATGGGCCTTTTAAGATTTTTAACAGTTTCAATAATTGCCTATCTTGTGACACTTAAAAGCATTTATCTCCCCCAAAATAAAACCATAAACTAATAGAAAGGAGTTTCAGGATAGTCATAGGGAAATAGTGGACAATTAATCAAACCAGTATTAAATAGATGAGGAGAAACTGTCCTTCTAGCATGTATTAATAATACATTAGGAAAATGGGCCTGTGATTTCTTCAGTTAGGGATCTCCTGGTGTGGACACTCATTATGTCAATGCTGGATATCTGTAACCTTCTCAGTAACTTTTAGTCTTAGAGAGCTTCCTGGAGACCTGAAACATTAAGTTACTTCTCCAATAGGCACACGGCTAGTATGTTTCAGAGGCATGACTTGAATCCAGTCTTTCTGATTCCAAATTTGGCCCTCTATCTACTCCACCACTTCACCTAAATTGACTCTTTCATTTTGCTCTTCTCTGGCTGGAGAGGTTGTAAGTAATAGTAGGTCAGTATCTCCTTCCTTTGGAATCATAGGGAAAAACTAGAATATGGTCTCAAAGTAACAGAACAGGATGACATTAAAAAAACAATAACAACAATAACAAAAGCCTTTCTGTAAATATATTCATATTAGCACTTAGCAGAAGTCCATCCCGAGAAGGTGGAGTATGCTAATCACATCCGCTTTTGTCCTCTAAGAACCATGTGTAAAAACAAGCACCAAGGTCTTATGCTCAGTCTTTAAATATGAGAGACAGAATTCCTTCAACACACCAAATCAGTGTCCACAATGGATGATTTCACAAGTAATTTTATAGGAGACAGATTCCTATAGTCAGGAAAACTCATGATGAATCAGTTTTAATTGACCATGTTGATCTGTAGTAAAGCATTTAGTGAAATAGTAAAGTGTTGTGTGAAACAGATGAGGGGGTTGGTCCTTGAGGTAATAGTTGACTCTTGGTTCCAGTCATTTTTTATTTCTTTAAGAGTGAGAATTATGAAATAACCAGCCAGTCTGATAGCTGGGAAGGAGGTAAAAATATGCAACGTGGTTACAAAAATGGATTTGCCATACTGGGTCTTGATTTCTTTAAAAAAAAGGGGGGGGTGGAGAATTTGTAGAGCAATCCGTCTGTCATCTTGAGAGAGATGAAATTGTGCAATTGAGGTCATGGTACTCTCTCAGAAAAGAGGGATGCCTTCTTATGCTTTCCTGAGATTTCTTAAAAGTGCTTCTAAACAAGGAGGAGATGAGGTTGTCCTTTCTCTGTGCTATTAAATTCTGATAGATGGGAACAATCTTAGTGGACTTGCTTTCTTTTACAATAAGGAGCCTACTGAGAAGGATTGGTATGGCTTATACATATTTGAATTTCTAAACCAATTATTTTTACTAGTGGCATATCTGATGCTGCTAGTTAATTTTTAGAATTTTCTTCCTGACGTATAGCCAGCAGACTGGGCAAGATGGAATATGAAGGTTTAACAATTCACATTTCTTACACAATTCAGACAGTAGACATGTGATTCACCTCACTTTGCTTACTACAGTGCCACACACCCTTTGAGCATTCAACAAATGCTTAGGGATGGATGTTGATGGCAGTGATACTTGTAAAGATTATACCTGCCATGTTAATTCAGGGATAGATCTTGGATAAGTGGAGATCTGCTAGTATTCACTGCATGCCATTTTTCCTATACAACATAGTGATATGACCAAAACAGACTTGCCTAAATCTATCTTTCTACTTGCTTATCAAGATTTCCCCAAGTGCTTTATCATTTTATTTCATTCTTTATCTGAAAATTGCTCCATGAGTAGTAGTGGAAAAGTTGGTGCCTAAACCAGGGACCATTTTTTCACTGCACTCAGATAAATATACAACTGAATATTTTTCCATCCTAAGGAGGTTACTGATATCAAACTACAAATAACTATTGAGATAATTTTGAAAGTAAATGTTATCAAAAATCAAATACAGGCAGTAAAATGGGTCACTTTGTTCTTTTAAATTCATAATTGTAGTCCAGGCACCTATGCTCAATAAAACAATATAGTGTTTTGTTTTGCAATAATAAGATATGACATATTGACTAAAGCCCTTAAAGGTAGAATGCAAAAATCATACCATTAAGACCTGAAGAGGTGCTAACATTAACTACACTGTTTCTCCAAACTTTGTATAGACCTGTCAACAAAATTATCAACCCAGCAGTTTTAGAGATAATATTCTAGATATTGCCTACAGTATTCTACTTGTATTTAAATGAAAATATGCTAGCTCAAACAATCAAACATTTGCCCCAAGTTCTACCTCAGGATGTTTATATATGTTAGTCTAAAAAGCTAATGTCAGTTATTTAGTCTGAACGGCATTTGAAGGATGAATGGAATCATATAGTCTGAAACAAGTAAGGTTTCTGAAATTGTCTAATATGAAGAGAGAAAGATACATTCTCCTATTGCATGAGGATCAGCTAAAATAAAATGTATTGTAATTATGATATAGAAAATAAAGTTTAAGAAATATTTCTTAGATGCATGTGGTTTTATGTATAACTTATGATCTTTTGGTTTATCCTTTTCATGAAATAAGGTATGCTGCTGTTATCTCTGAGGATGAATTAGGAGCTCTATCCCCTTCTCTGAGATAAAGAGATGAAAAAAGTCCTACAGAAAGAGTGACTTGTAGGGAGTCTTTCTCATGATCTCTAAAAGTGACTAAACAAACTCAAATATGCCAAAGTTCACCACTTGAAAAGGGGCTCCAAAGGGTGTCCAAAGTAAAATAATGGCATCAAAATTTTAATGTTATCTCTGGTTGATAAAGTGATCTATTCCACTGTTCTATAAAATTATCCATATGTACTGCCAGTTACCTCTATATCAGAGGTTTATTTCCTGCTGCATACATTCTTGCAACTGCTTATTACCAACTTTAAAATCAATTTCATCACCTTAGTAAACTAATAGATTAGAAGTTATGATTGTGACTAGTGCCTAACTTTTGTGTTTTTATGCATAGAAAGATGTCTATTTCCTTCTGGAGACTTATAATGTTTTAAAATGAAAATGAATTAAAATATTAGTTGTGCCTTTTTTTGTTTAAGAAAAGATAAGTCACTTATAAATGTACCAAGTACCATAAGTTCATTTTGATATTATTGTTATTTAATGCTTTATGCTTCATAGGTATAAATGCTTTCCAAAGCAATGCTTGTGAAAAAATGAATTCAAATTTTCTATCTCAAATGATACTTGTCAATGAAATTGTTCAGTTGTGCTACACAATCTATTTAGAATATTTAAAAAATATGAAAAACACTCACCCAAAAAAGTTTTGTACAATTGAATGGTAAGGTTGTTCTAATCTTTATTAGCTTTGTGGTATGGAAGCACCTATCTTGCCAAAATCTGACATCTACAAACTTGTTCTATTTATGGTGCTTGACCTCTGTTTTTCCCAATATGCAGAAAATGTCGTTAAACAATGAAATAGAAATGGAAAGAACTATTTGCTCTCCCAGACTATTCTGGGAAATAATACCAACACAAATGGGAAATACAAAAATTGTATGGCCAGTACTAGACGACTTTCATAAAAGTTGTCATACCATTGGCTATGTTTTAAATATTTCTTAAACTGTTTTGTAAAACCTTGAGTGGGGGTGGGGGTGGGGTTGAAGCTTTATTGTAAAAGAAATGAATGCAAGAAAATGGCACTTTAAGTAGTGAAGAGACGTGAAGCATTGCATCTTCATAGCCTGCTAAGGAGCAACAGCTGTACCTAATTTTAACTTGACGTGCTTCAGATCTCATATTCATATAGGTATTTAATGATCCAAACATAATGGTCCTATATAGAATAATTACTTATATGAAGGAGTGAACTTCATACGCATTCCTTTTTAAACGATCCTTCAAGAGAAAAACTGCACTGGTTCTTTGAACAATGAATATTCCCTTTTAACAATCAAAATGTTTGGGGCATAATATCTTAAATTTTAAATGAATAATAAAACCTATGATTACTTCTTTTTGACAGGTTCTTGGGGTCGCCCTCCTTCCCAAGATAACCAGTACAATGAAAAAAGGTAGAATGCCAAGCCAATCATTAAGTCATAATAGTAGGTTGTTAGGAGAAACAGAATGAACAAGAGGAAATATGGTATTTTCGAGTTGATATATTTTGAAAGCAGAGACTCACTGGCCAGAATTTGATTGTCCTGGGCAGGGAGACTGGAGGAGTCAGACTCGTTACCTGACTTGAAGCCTGGGGAGGCGAATTCGTGTCCATAGCTTATTAACTCAGCAGTTTCACAACTTGTCTCTTCTACCTCCTCGATAGGTTCACTGATTAAAATCATTGGCCCTAAAGACTTCTCCATGTTATTTTCTGCTTGTTGGAAACTTTCAGCTATGAACCTTTCTCTCCCATCACTGGAAGTCAATTTGACTGAACTCTTGTCATATTCTTGAGGTACAGACCCAGGATGCTGGTTTTTCTCAGTACGCTGGGCTTCACTGTGGGGATCACATTTGCACTCTGATGTGGTAGAAATAGACTTGAATGGCATGGCAGCCATTGGATGCTCTGTAGAGAATACTTCCTCATTGGATTGAGTTTTATTAGGACAAGTGGAAACAGGAGTGCCATTTTGAGGACATATGCTTCTTTCAGAATCGAAACTTTGATGAGTGAGAGTAACCAAATCAGCATTCTTCTGAGGGAGTCCTTGGGTATCTGTGTGGCATATATTTTTCTTCAAAATTTTAGGGACAGTAGGTAATTGTGTTGAGTAGAAATCCAGTTCTGAGCTTCCTTTTCCACTCTCAGGAGTGACCTGCAGAGATTCTCCTACAGTTGCAATATTTCTAATGCCATGCTCTACCCTGTCAAGTATTTCCCCAGAATTGCACTGAGACATAGTTTCTTCCTTTTGTGTTTCATCTATGTGTACATTATAAATACCTAAATGTGATTTCTTTTCAAAGTCAGTGTCATGGATTACATCCACTGAATCTCTATGACAAAGGATATAATGTGAATCATCATTTCTCCCTTCATGTGAATCAAACGCTGTTTCCTTTTCCTCAGTGGGCCTGTCACTTAGAGAAGTCTCTTGAGGTAGCTTAGCAATTATTGCTTTTTCTCTAGCAGACATGCTTTCTAGAGTACTTTCTGATGTTGTCTTAATTATATAAGCTGTACCTGCTTCTGCTTTCTCGGTAATACCATGATCAGCTACAGAAGACAGTTCACATCTCACTGTTTCTTGGCAGGTAAACAATTCTTCTGTAGGAGTAACATTCAGGTTCCTTGTATTATCTCTTATTTCCCACATGTCTTCACCATCTGCTTGCTCCTTGATCTGTTCTGTTCTATTCGTCTTACTCTCTTTTAAAACTACCTGACTTTCCAGAACATTCCAACTTTGATTTCCACATGCAATCTTATTCTGATTGTCAGGAATATTCCTATCTGATTTCTCTCTTTGAACCTGGGAAGGATACAGATCTGTTTGCAAGACATTTACATTTTCTGATGAGCAAACTTGGCCATGCATTCTTTCTGGAGTGGTGCCTTCTGAATTCACTAGACCACTCCTTTGGCTTGTAAACACATGGTTGGGGCTAGCTAAATCAGTTCTGAGAGAATGTGATCTATCAACTTTGGGTGCCAAGTCACAGGAGCTAGCAGAGATTTCATTTACTTTGCTCTGAGGGTCACATAAGTATCTATTACTAGCTTGACTCACGTTAACACTTATTTCAGGATGCCCTTTTCTCCCATGGTTGTCAGTTGAGATTGATGGTACACTTTCATTTTGCCTTTCACTAATGCTAAACTTGATTCTTTGTTCCTCCTTTTCTTTACCATTCCTACACCCTTTTCTAGACGTTCTCTTTTCTGTAACTGGGCGTTCTTTGGAAGCATTCATATGGGCAGGTATATAGGCAAGAGACTCTCTTGTTGGACATTCCCAGTCTTTGACTTCAATTTTCTTGGTTCTTTCTCCTTCTTTGTCTTGATCAGCATTGCCTGCCAAGGGCAAATATGCAGTTGGACAAGATGCTTGTATTTTCTGACCCTCTCCTGCTGGATTGGCATTATCATCCAGTACTTCCATGCCACTGGTGCCTAATGGCACTAATTTGTCATCCTCTGAAAAAACTGTTTCCAATGTCATTTCATGGTTCTTTTTGTAGCTATGAGCATTCCCCTGGCTGGTAAATGATCTATCCACCATCTCATTTCTCATTGCACCATCTGTTTTACTTTTTGAAATATCCACCCTTTTTATTCCTTGCCTTTCTGATTCATCCAGAAAATGAGAATGTTCATCCTGTTGCCTTGCAAGGAGACTTCCAAGTAAAGGAGAGGTCTCACCGCTATCAGTGTATCTCAATGATGGTTTGCGGCTGTTTGCTAGATCCGAAGTAAGTTCCTCTGCCAATTGGTGACTAACTTCATTTCTCAAGGCATGCTTTGGGTTGCTGTACGATCCTCCCCTTGAGGGATTTTCTGCTGATGAACTGGGAGACAAAGGCCTCCTGAACAAGTCTCCACTTATCTCACCAAGGGTTCGCCGATTCTCAAACTGTTCAGCTGTATTTGGAAAAGTAACTGGCTCTGTTGCAAATGAGCTTTCATCTCTGGTAGAACTTCTAGTTCTTACTGAGTACTGATTTAGCTTTGGGGGAGAAAAAGAAAACAATGACCAAAAGAGATTTTTTAAATATGCAGAATGAATTAAGTAAATTTCATTTGCCCAGCTAGGAAGTCCCAGGCATAGTCCCATTACCTCATTTCACTTATGGGTTTTTTACAGTCTTCAAAGCAGGATTTTTTTGGGGGGGAGGGGATCTTGCTAAAGTATGATTTGGGAATGAGATTACTAAGGAAAAGGCCAAAAACTAATCACTCTCCTTCCCAGCCTCCAAATATCACATTATATTATTCAACTGTTCTTGCTTGTCATTGCCCTCTCTCCTCACTTAGGATATATACATTGATAGCTCCATGCTAATCAATTAGAGAGTAGCTTCCTGGGTGCCCCTTGCTACATTTACACTTGCTGTAGGTGCCCCCATTACAGTTTCTCTTATTAATATGTTTTCTGCAAAGCCTCTGCAAACTATTAATAGCAAAACGTCACTCAAAGAAAAGTGAGGGAGTTAATGTCTCTGCAAATTCTGTTTTAATGACCCTCTGCCAACTGGTACTCAAATGTATTTGAGCTCTTCAGTGATGCCAACTGTCAGGATTTAACAGTGAGATGCCTGTGTTTTTTTTTTCTCCTCATAACTGACATTTGCATGATCTCAATAATTATATGCAAATCTTACGATTTCCCCTTCTTCTCACATAAGGCTCATGTTACTTGTCAACTGCACAGCTGTCTTGCAAGCCAATGCCTGTGGGTTTCACAGATTTGGTTGTATTTCCATCTATTATAGAGCTTCATTGTTTTATGCATTAACATCGGCATGGTGCAAATTAGCATCTAAATTACCATTCCCTGTTCATTTATTGGACGTACAATCTCAGTGACTTCTAAACAAACTTTTATATTTCAGCCTGCTCATTGTAATGAGGTGCATCGGTGGAGTATGTGATTTTTCAGGGTCCTTTCATTATATTCTGTGGTTTGAAAAAAATGGCAATGTTAACTTTCAGTTGGGGAGAATTCTCAGAATGGGTGACAACTTTGTAGTTACTTAAAGTTGGAGCAAAGTAAATTGCATACTTTTGTGATGCATCCTCCACATCACTCTAGAAAAGGTGGTGCTTTGGCGGGAGAAGGGGGAAGAGATGAGTACTATTTCTTTCCTGCTTCAGCACTGACACTTGAAGAAGCAAAAGTCATTTTAATCTTAGATTATTATGAATCCATGTATTCCAATTCTCTAAGCTCAAACTAGACACCGGTAAGGATAAATTGCATTATGTGACTCATTTACTGCTATTTCTCCCTTTGTGATGAAAAATGTAAGTTAAACCATCAAAAAAAAAATCTAAATGGATTGAATGTTCACCAGCTGTGAAATTTATGATAACAAATTTAATACTAAATTGGATGCTATAGAATTTTTTCTTATTTAAAAATTATAGCAAAAGGCTCTCTTGTTCCTGCTGGGCAATTCAATACTTTACAGCAATGTAAACCATTGGCAGTCTCATGAGGAAAAAAGTAAATAAAGGAATACTATGAAACTGAAAGAATTCTAGATTGTTAGAGCTGGAAGGGATCCTAGAGAGTATCTCATCCAATTCCTTCATTTTTAAAAGAGAAGAGTTTATACTTGTCAAGAAGATTAGGAATAGGCATCAATATTGAGTTACCTCTCCTGTAATTCCTAAAAACTATTATTTAGGAGGTAAAGAGATAAGAAATGAAAGTCATTAATTTAAGACTACAGAGACTGAAAGCAACCTACTGAAATCAAAATTCCTTTTTGATCAAGATAGAGATGCAATGATAGCACAGACCATGTTTTCACATTTGTAAATTATATTAGTAGATGCTAATGAAAAGGAGACATTTTGCCATTTTTGAAGCATAAATGATTTCATATCCTCTAACACTGTGGCAACCAGAATACTTACCATCAGCTCTAATTCTTTTTCGCTGTGTTCATCATATTCCTTGTTTACATCTTTTACATTTTGACTACTGGCTTCCATGTCTTCCTTATCCTCATGAGAACAAATGATTATTGGGAGAGATATATCTGAAAAGTGATTATAATTATACCTGTGTAAGACTTTTCCCCCTGCTATAGGTTATAACCATAAGAAACACATTTTTTTTGTTAGAAATTAAAGAGAAACAGTACCTGTAGTCTTTGAATTATTACAGTTATTCTCCTCTAATATTTCTGATTCCTCTTTGCTGTTAAATTAAAGAAAAAACTGTTAGGTATTATTCCAAAATTCAGTCTTCTAAGAAATATATTTACTAAGTGAGAGTTATAAATCACAAAAAACTATATAAATACTGTGCAATCTTACACGTTTCACTGTACTCTTTTAAATATTTTTTCAAAATCAGATTAATCTTTTAAAATTATGTAGTAATGTAGTAACAGGTACAAAAACAATGAAAGAAAAAATATCACAATGCAACATTTACAAATGAGGATGCTTTATTTTAAAACTTATATAATCATGATAAAAAAAGTGATGTAAATCATCTTATCATTCATAGATTTAATCTTCACAAGTAAGACCATTTTTCTCTAGGTTTTAATAATAAAGGTTTATGAATTGCCAGTCCATTTGTGGTTGTAGAAATAGTTTTCTAACATTTCAATTGTTAATTTTTTTTTCTTTTCCATTTGACTCAATGTTACATTAACTCTGTTGAAAAAAAAAAGCTAACTAAAAACTGAAGGAGGTAGCCAAATATATATTCATTTGAAAGAATTTATATATGTATTGCCATAGGCTAATTTTAAAACTGAGATTTCAGACCTCTCATATGCAAGTTTACATTTTCTTATGTAAAGGATTATTCTAGATATACTTCCTTCCCCTTCTCATTCTAGATCTGGACTTAAAATACACACATCTCCTTTTTGGTTTAAACTTAACCTTCCCTCGGTATATTTGCAGGGTGATTTTTTTTTAAAGTCTCAAAATCACACCCAGTCAGAAAATTTTAGTAAATCTAGTAAATTAAGTCTCATGGGCTTATGTGTAGCAGTACCTTTAGTAAATCCATAAGAAATATAGGATTGCATAAAGAGTTTTCTTTGTACAGTTATAGCTGAATTCCTATTCTGGTGGTTTTTTCCCAGTGAAAAAATTCTACATTCATACAAGACCACATCTGCCAATCAAAGCAAAGCAAAGAGACGGGAGAGTTGGCTGATTGATTTGTCCAGTGTAGACAAACAAGTTGGATGGCTTTATCTTCAATGTCAAATTTTTGGCCCTGGAATCATGTGGGTCACTTATAGTGCCTCAAATTATAAGAGAACTGTTCAACTTTCCCTTTTGCTTACGTTTATGCTAGACTAACCTTTTTATAGTACTCAGATAGTTATGTGGTATTTAGCTTTTAGCTTGAAGTGAAGAATTGACTACATCTAATGGTCACAGAAAAGGAAATGGGAATGCTTTATTAAGCATTTTGACAAAGAAAAATAATGGTTGCCCTATTGGAGCATTAAATCTGCTATATTTAAAAAAAAATAAAGACAGCAACTAGGTAAAAAGTCTCAGTTTTGCAAATGTAACTCCAAACTCATTCACATACATGAGTTCTACTCTTTTCAAAATGTGACCTATTAAGCATCTTTTAATAGCTCCAGCTTCCTCTTCATTTCCTTAACAAAACTCACAATTCCATTTGTAGTAGAAAAACAATAGCATTTCAAAGATTCCTTTCACTGTTTCTAAAACCAAAATGTTATCAATCATTTTTCTCAGGTCTCTAAAATTTTCTGCTTTTGAAAAGCATTCAAATCAAATGGAATAGAGCTTCCTTTTAGCTCATTTTTGGAAAACATTTATTAGGTACCCACCTGTGCATTGTTCTCTACTGGTTATAATACTAATAACTTTAAGCAGTCACAATGCTTCTGCTCTATAAGATTACAATTTAAAACAGACAATGTTGATGTATACATATATGTAGTGTAAAAAAAAACTTGAAGACATAACAACAAATATACACAGGAATACCAGAAATTAAATAAAATACATAAAGCATACATTGGAAAGCAGGCAAAGGAATCCAAATGATAGAGAGTAAAAACAAAAGCACTTTATAATGCAGCTTAGAGTTAGAAGATAATCTACCTGCTTACCCAATACATTTGATCATTTGGGAATGTAAAGCCCAAGTTTCATTGATGTTTTTGATTGAGTGGTTTGCTCAATTCAATCTAAACAGTTGACACGACCTTAGAAAAGTCTAGGGGAAAAAGGCTATTATTTGGCAATAATAGGAAGCTAAATAAATAATAGACAGCTAGGTGGTGCCCTGGATAGAGCACCAGGACTGGAGTCAGGAAGACTCATTTTTGTGAGTTCAAATCCAGCCTCAGACACTAATTACCTATGAGACCCTGGGCAAGTCACTCAATCCTGTTTTCCTCAGTTTCATCATATGTAAAATGAGCTAGAGAAAGAAATGGCAAGCCACTCCATTATCTTTGCCAAGAAAATCCCAAATGGGGTCACAAAGACTATACCATGACTGAAAATGACACAACAAAAAGGTAGCTAAAGGCAGGGGCAATCCTGTGCAAAATGAAGTAGGCAATATTTACCTCTAAGACTCTTAACTTCCCCCCCATTAGCACCCCTTATTGCTTCCATCCCCCTCAGGAACAGTATTATCTCCCCATATCTCATTCCATTTATACCTCCTATATAGGGAGGCCATCCACTGTACAGGAAAGGGTGCTGGATTTGAAGGTAGAAGACCTTGATTTGAATTCCAGTTTTACCATCTACTAGTTTCTGTGATATTAAACTAGTCCTTCTACCTCTCTGAGCCTCATTTTTCTCATCTGTAAAATGATTAGATTAGTGATCAGCTATATGAGTGTATGAAAGTATTCATATGAAGGTTTAAATGACTATTGAAGATTAAAGAGCTGCTCTTCCCAGGGATAGTTGTATTTTATAAAGGGATAAATCTTAAGCTGAAGGAACAAAGGACCAGTAGTGGAATTTCAGGAATAAGTGAGTCAGTGGTGGTGACATTCAGGGGAGGTCTTCATGATGCCTCTGCAATCACACCACAATAAGTACTCCTTTATACAAGGCTGATGATAATTAAAGATATGTATATATGTATATGTATATATGCACATACATATGTAGATAGACAGATAGACAGACAGATAGATAGATAGATAGATAGATAGATAGATAGATAGATAGATAGATAGATAGATAGATAGATAGACCAGGGCCAGGATAAAGAAACAACATAGAGAAAGGGGGTGGTTTTGAGAGAAATTATGAATATGCACACTAGATGAGAAAAGATCAACAAACTTGAAAACTAATACCAGAAAGTGTTAAATGATCATTGTGCTAACATTACGAGCATTATGTGGACCCCTATTTCAAATCAGCATTTGAGTTCTAAAGTAATAATAATAATAATAATACAATTTTTGGAGTGGGCTTGTGATTTCATTGCTGTAGGGAATATCTGGTAAAAAAAAAAAAAGATTCCCCTTAGAAATGAAGATCATCCTAAGGCAATAAGAGGTTGAGTCTTGCCCAATTGGTCATAGCCAATGTCAGAGACAGCACTTTAATCCGGGTGTTCCTAATTCTAAGGCCAGATGTTTGTACGTCGTATCATACTCTAGACTGTACTGGTAAGTATATAACAACTAGGGGAAAAATGTATGCAGTTGACACTTACTAATTTTGCCTTGCAATATTAACATTTTCTCCACCATTCTCTTAAGCCTAGACAATAAATGAAACAATAAATCAAACCCTAATTTGTAATATTTGCTGATTTTCAAGCTGTAAATGCTCACACTGAAAATTTAATAGGCAGCCTCAACTCTAGCACACCCTTGATACTTTCTCTCAATAATATAACAGCAACAATAATAATAATAATACAAAGTTATGGAGTAATAAATTAACACATGTAATATTTTAGTGTTTGCAAACTGCATTGTAAACAACTCTGAGGTTCTACCTCATACCGTGACAAAAGTTGGAAGAATTCTAGAAAGAAGGGCATACTAATGCACTATTGGTGGAGCTATGAATTTGTCCAACCATTCCAGAAAACAATTTAGAATTATACTGAAAAAAAGTCACAAAACTATATATGCCCTTTGACCCAGTATTATTGGCTGCTTATTGAATAGGGAACAGTGAAACAAATTATGGTATATAAATGAATTTTATTCCATGGTTTAGAAAAATAACAAATGTGAAGAATTCAGAGAAAGTTGGGAAGAATTTATAAACTGATGATACAAAGAAAAGTGAGTAGAACCATAAATACAATTTATACAATAACCATAGTTATAGAAAGGAAAATAACTTTGAGAGACTGCTGAACTCTGGTCAGCACAGCATCTGATCACTACTTTATAGGACTAAGGGTGAAGTAAATCTTCTAGTCATGGATTGTATGTGAAGATAGACATTACCAACTTGTTGGTTTTGATTGACTATACTTTTTTTTAAAGCAGGACAGTGTTCTATTGATGGAAATGACTGTTTTTTTTAAAAGAGTATCAGTAAAACATTAAAAAACCCAATTCATCACACATAGTAGACTCTTCTTATATGTTTATCAAATGGAATTTAGTTGAACAAAATTGCCGAGGATCATGCAGTTAGTTACTGATAAACCTAAGACTAGAACACATATCTCTTCTCTCCTACTTTTTTCTTTGCTAACCACACAGATTTTGGTCTTTGAAGAATAAAACAACCATTGGAATGCAGATTCAGCATTTCTGAGAAAGGATTCCTCTTATGGTCAATGTTTGGAACAATGATGTATTATTGGTTGCAATAAGGTATGAACACCAAGAATGGGAGTGAGAAGCAAAACTTTGGCAGCCTAGGATCTGACTCTTTGGCCTTTTGCTTGTACCAGCTCCTTATATTCCAACAGTTAAGATTTGTTCATTGCTTTTCCATGGAAGGGGACCACCAACAAAACCTCTGCAACTAGTCGGCATACTGGATGAAGTGCTAGATTGGAGACAAGAAGACCTAAGTTTGAGTCCTGCCTCGGATTCTTAGGTGCTGTGTAAAGTTGGTCAAGTCATTTAATTTAAGTCTGTTTTCTCTTCTTTAAAATAGTGATAATAATAGCACCTATTTCACAGGGTTGTTGTGAAGATCAAATGAGATTTTATGTATATGTATGTATATATGTATACATGT